CTGCTGAGACAATAGCTACACTTCTGTCGTGGGCTCGTGCAGGGGCTTACAGGGAGAAGGATTGGGGAGCGACTGATGAACGACGTTTGGCTCCAGGCTTCTGATGTTTGCCAACGAGGGCCGGAAAAGTTTAGCCTGCTCCATTCCTCGGGCAGCAGCCTCCGCTAGTTCGTCTAGACTATGGGGTGTGCGAAAACATTAAGAATACTCTGGATATATGGCGGAAGCCTTTGAAGCCAAATCTGGCGTAGTACGGAGTCGCCGAGTGTGGTGTTGCCGATTAACGCACGCATCTGATGTAACAACTGGAACGGCTTGAGGTTTCCAAATTGGATCCCTGACAAGAAAAGCTGGATGCGCTCCTCTTCGGAAACTACCATACGACGAAGGAGTGCTTCTTTGAGCACGTCGCAGGGATATTCATGGAAATATTCCTGAAGTTGATAAGCATGTCGGGCGGGATCGCGGACAACAGCTTATTATAACGGGACAGTTGCCCGGTGATGCGAGCTTCATGGAATCGCGATTCCAGAAGTGCGAGGAACGCTTCCGGATCCTTCAGCACGAACTCAGGAGCCCTGATTCGGGCCCAGAGTGCTTCGCCGTCTATGGAGTGTTTATGATCGGGGCTAATCATACTTAAGCGCAAATTTTTAATATGCAATTTTAGAATATCACCGAATAGCACCTAAAATGCGAACGAAACGAAAGTGGACAAAAAAATGCAATAGTAAATAATGATAATACCGCGAACTGGGGATAAATATAATTTAAAATTATACGCACGATTGTGGTTCCGTGAAAATAAATGCGCAGACAATTTAGAACAAACGTGACCTAGAGAAATTAAAATTCCTCCGAAAGCAAACATTTTCCAACGTAAATAAAATAAAATTAGGGCCCACCAATCTGTAGGCGCTAGGTTATCGGTACCCCGAGCTAATACGTATAGGTCGCAAACGTACGTTCGTACGAGAGGAGGAGGCGATTCACGAAACGAAGGACGACGTGTATTGTAAAGACCTGCAGAGCAAGGGAGAGATACAGAGGTGTGAGCAAGCGTGCGGAAAGTGAAAGCAAACGCGGTGGTGGCCTTGGTGTGATAAAACAATGAGATGCACAGGAAGAAAGGTACATTGGGAATGGGAGGTGAATGGTCACTACACTACCATCAACTCCCATTATTTTCTATTTCTCGACCTGTTCATCCATCTCTCCATCTAGCGCGTTCTCGTTTTAAATGCATTTATCTCAACTGCATTGAGTTATAATTTTTGTTGATGTTATGTATTTTTGTGCATGCGAAAACAAACCAAAAAACAAAACAAAAACGAAAACATATACAAAACGAAAAACTTGTTGAAAACAAAGTGTCAAAAATTTTCTTCGTATCTCTAGGCGTGCTTCGTGTGAATTTTACTTACGTACATGCAAGCATGTGTGCACCATCCAGATGCGCATCTTGGTGCACTGCAAGCAGATAATGCACCCCTCCCCTCTTCCCTATCAGGTTCCTCCTTTCCTTCTTTCACCATCACCTGACCACCTACTTGCCACTAGAACTTCTCTTTCCTTTCGGCCGGTGCTGTAACTTGGTTGATGCCAGTGTCAGGGTCTGCTGCCTTGATGCATTAGGCGTGACCGGAATGTGGCGCGAGAGTGGGAGGTCAACACCCAACTCTCCTGAAGCTTTGATCGCAAAATTGAAGAAGAGTCATCTCCCTCTTCCATCTGTCGTAGCATCGGGGGATCCCTGGAGCCCACCGCTGCAGGAAACTGGACTAACTGGCACACCGCCGTCAACGTCCTGGAACTGAACTGAATTACCTGAATCCCCCTCGCTAGCGGGCCGTGCTCTCAAATTATCGTCAGCGGGCATTACCAATGGATCGAAAACCGACAAACCGAGATCTGGGACCATCAGTCTTAGCCTCGAACCCGTGGTGTACTTCAAGATTTCAAGACTCGGTTGGCGAAAGCCTTTATGGTCCTGTGCAACTTGAGTGACCTGACCTGACTAGGTTCAAAGAAATTTATCTGGAAGTCTTAGGCCGTAAAACAAATTGGAAGATTCTTCCATCACAGTGATACATGATTCCTTCCCTAAAGCTGTATAATGTAGAAAAGAGCTGCTTTTGTTTAAACGCACAATTGGAAGCGTCCCAATTTTTCCAGACTCCGTGGCGCAGAGTTTCGAGAAGGCGCACTGACTTTGCGCTTCGTTCCGATGGCCGTATCCGTTGTGGGTTTTGACGTTGGTTGTCTAACTTCTTATGTGGCTGTTGCCAAAGGGGGTGGCATTGAGACAGTAACGAACGAATATAGCGAACGTCAGACACCGTAAGTATCACAAAGTCTTTTTTGTATCTTGTTAGTACATGTGTAGCTTTTGCCGGTAACCGGCGGCTAATTGGCACTGCCGCTAAGCTTCAACATGTGACTAATGTGAAGAATACGATTGTTGAATTTTTACCATTGCTTGGCAAGAAAATAACCGACGCTTCTGTAGTTAGACAGCGTGCTCGTTTGCCTTATCCTATCGAGGAGGGTCCCGATGGTCGTGTCCTAATCAAGGTAGTATTACATCACTTAATTGATTTATTCCCTAGGTTCACTATTGTGGCGGTGTTTACACTTTTACACCTGAACAAATCATGGCGATGCAGTTGACGAAATTGAAAACTATCACAGAGGCTGCTCTATCATCTAAGGTCGTCGATGTCGTCATTAACGTTCCTACTTACCTAACGGACTCGGGACGCAGAGCTATGTTAGATGCCTCCCGGATTGCTGGTTTGAACTGTGTGAAGCTCGTCAACGATACCACAGCGAGTAAGTGACTATACTCACCTTATATCTTACCGGATTTAGTCGGCACCGCCTATGGCCTGTACAATCTTGACCTTCCTCCTGCCGATCAACCACCCAGGAATGTTGCCTTTGTTAGTGTCGGATACAACAGTACCCAAGTGGCTATTGGGGCCTTCAATAGTGGAAAGCTGAAGATTGTATCCACTGCGTGTGACCCGCATCTGGGCGGTCGTGATTTTGATGAGGTCATATTTAATAAAATGGCTAATGAGTTTGAAGCAAAGTACAAAATAAGAGTATGTTTTCTGCGTACTTTATTAACTTGCTTTCTCAGATTTCCGACCATCCGAAGGCTGCTGTCCGGCTGTTGCAGGAATGCGAAAAAGTGAAGAAAGTGATGAGTGCAAATTCTCAAGAATTACCTGTAAATATTGAATGTTTACTGAATGATCGAGATTTAGTCAGTAAAATCAAGCGTGCCGATTTTGAAGTAATCCCTTCATTATTATCTTAATGCAGCTGTTTATTGCAGGAATACTCTAGTGAACTTCTTGCTCGTTTTGAACAAGTGCTTAAGCGATGCTTAGCGCTGTCCAAACTGAAGACCACTGAAATACATTCGGTGGAACTTGTGGGTGGTACCACTCGGATTCCGGCTCTGAAGTCTATTGTTGCGTCTGTTTTCGGGCAAGATGGTCGAACTACTCTAAATGCGGATGAAGCGGTGGCACGTGGTTGTGCTCTTCAAGTACGTTAAGCTCCTCCGCTGAGGTATTGTTTTAACACTTGTTTAGGCTTGAACCGCTCACTTGCAGATTGGGTGTTTTTCTAGTCACAGTCTTTGTGTGTACACAGTAACAGTATAGTTTTTAATTTGTTATGTAGACTACCCCTTTGCTGGATAATTCGGAATCTTTAATGTTTACTTCTCTGGACAAGCTATCTACCAATGGCTCGTTACCCTGATCATAGCTTCGGAGAATGTTCTTACCTCAGCCTAAAGAAACCAGTGCGAATGACGAGCCGGTGGCCGGAAGCCATAAATATGGTTCGTCAAGAAATTCTTAAGACATTCCATATATACCACGCCTAAGCTATCGGGGCCTTACGTGGTTCGTCACTCCAAGTTCCGGGGATCAGGTTGTCCGTTACCATCACTGAGCAGCAGGTCTTCGTGACCATGGGATCCGCCCCGTCTGATGTTCATCACACGGATGTAATAAAGATACTGGGTGAGTAATGACGAGGTTCATCGTCGTGTGTTGGGTGCGGCCTACACTGCCTCCAATGGCTTGGTCACGTATTTCGTACGGCTGCCCATCGACTACCTTCCCGTGTTCTCTTTGCACGTGCCGGGAAAGGCTGAAAGAAGCGCGGCGGCGGTCAGACTATGACAGCGTAGAAGTATGAAGAAGCCAGCTTCAGTTTTGACTTCGGTTGGTGCAGCCCGCCTTTCATATATATATAACGCTACTTTTTGAAGGTACAAAGGGCATACCGAACATAGCTACACTGGCACCCAAATTATCCAAAAAAGCTTGCAACTTACCTGGATCTTCGCTTAGCAGTACGATATCGTCTGCATACTCTAGATCAGACAGTCTGTCATCTGAAAGCAAATCGATGATATCCTCGCACGAGGATGGGGCTGTTTCAAGAATTAAATCTATGGCTAAGTTAAGTGGGTTCCACCCCATCTACCGTTCATCACAAAATGNAATGTTTGTGATAAAATATGCTATTCGGCCTCACGTAGTTCAGTACTCCAAGTCCCAGAACGTAGATGCTTGATTCCCGTAACTGAGTAGTTGGTGCTCGTGAATGTGGGGTTTGTTCGTCACAGTAAGATGTATAAAACACAGAACTTCTTCAAAGCATCCTAGAATAACAAGTCTTCGCATGCCAAAACCAGGTATATATTGTGATTGTTGATACCCCTTTTAACTGTGTTCTCATTATTGTTTCCTTGAACATATCTTATTTAACAGGCTGCCATATGCTCCCCAGCTTACCGAGTACGTGAGTTCAATGTCACGGAAGTGTGTCCTTACGGGATTACTTTAATCTGGGACCGAGAAGATAGCGGAGACCAATCAATGGCAGTAACTGCGGAAAATGACGGTAGCCTCGCGGTAGATAACAAAGATACTTCAATTGAAATATTCCCTTTGATGCACCCGATTCCTTCTTCTCGTCGACTGTTCTTCAATCGCCGAGGACCATTTGCGCTGGAGGCGCGGTATACACATCCAGAAGAACTTCCCGACCAAAATGTTATCATTGGAACCTTCAGTGTTCAGGGTCTTCCGCTACAGCCCGGGAACGTCTGTAAAGTTCGTGTGAAGGTTCGAATCAATACTCATGGCATTTTCGCTGTTTCGCAAGCGGAAGTTGCCGAGGAATACGAGAAAGAAGTGGAAGTGGAAGTTCCAGATGAATCAGTCAATGCTTCTCCAGATACAACGGTGGACAAACCCATGGAAGTGGAAACTCCAAACAACGGAGATGTGGCGACAGCTCCATCAGAGGACAGTGCTGCAGTAAACGAGACAAACACAGCCCCTGCGGCAGGCAAAAAGGTACCGATGAAGAAAACTATTGTCAAGAAGAAGGCTATAAAATACAAGGATCTTCCTGTAGATGCCAGTATCATGCAGTTTAGCTCAAAGCAGTTGAATGACTTTTGCGAAACTGAGGTGAGTTCATGCTCTGCTTTCGTTACTTCGGGAAGTTTTCACTATCGCTTTCTCTCATGTTGCGCGTGCGTATCCATTAGTCCAAGTTATTGTTATACGTGTATTTGCAGTTTCAATTTTGCCGCAGTATTGGGATGTGCATCTCAGGAATTGGGTTTGAGGTAAACCAATCGTACAGGTTAATGACCGTGGTTTTGTAGTGGTATTTTATGAACACAGGGTCGTTGGAAAAGACAGCCTGTATGCACATCGTGAAGAAGACCCCCAATCGTGTGTTAGTATTATGCGGTTTTCACTTTGTCTTATTGCCTACTTGTTTTTTTACACAGGGTAAACTGTATGCACAGGATGAGTTGGAACACCGACGAGCTCACGCGAAAAATGCAGTTGAGGAGTATGTGTACGAAATGCGCAGCAAGTTGGCGGACAGTCTCAATCCTTTTGCTACAGAAAAAGAAAATTCGGACCTGTCACGTGTACTAGAGGAGACGGAAGATTGGTTATACGGCGATGGTGAAGATCTGCACCGCGAAGCTTATGTGAATAAGTTGAACGATATTCGTAAACTGGGTGATCGGATAGAAAACCGAGCTTTAGAACAGAAAAATCGCGTTCCAGCGGTGCAGAACTTTGAACAATCCATTGTGGTAAGTAACTTTTGAAGATGGTATTTGCAGCTTCATCCCTATTATTCAGTTGTCATCGGGGTCGTTTCCAAGTGTCTTTCAGTTGTATACACTGGAATCAAGTGTCTTTCATACTTCCTAATCCCTTGGTTGCTACGGTTCTTAGCTTGGTTTAGGAATAACGTGGTAGGTCATTACCCCGGCTGTCAAGATTGATATACGTCTAACACAATTTCCGAGCGTCACCGAAGTGCTACCCTCCGAGGTAACCCGCTGCCAGAACTAGTTACCTGCAGATTATTTTGAGCAAGTCGCATTTGTGTTAGCTAACTTCTTCACGCACATCAGTTGTCCCAGTCGCGTTACATCGTACAATGGTCTGAAAATTCCCTCCATCTCAGGCGCTCTACTGAATATTTTACCCATCTTTTCGCCTTATCTAGTACCTGCGTAAGCGGTAGGAGTAGAATAAAAACCTATGTAATTCGGGGTGCATTTGCTGTTTGCCCCCGCGAGTAATTTCCCGTCAGTCAAATATTTGCGATTACACATTTTGAACTTGGTTGCGGTCAGCAGAAGTCGCTCCATTATGTTTGACGATGTAAAAATGACGGCGGTAATGTTATGTCGGGGTATGTCACGAGGATTTTTATGAAGATAAAGTCCGATAAGGGAATAAGGTGATTTTCGATAATTCATCAATTGACCACTTCCATCTATGTGGGTGGAACACTCGTTATTCTTCGTTCCAGTTTGGTGTGAATCTGATCATATATACAAAACGGTCCTACTTGAGTCGACATTTTGATTGAGTCTCGTTTTGATTACGACGTCCCTCAATTACCTCGCTGAAATCAGTTGGTCGCTTGGTAGCGGGCTTTGTACATTATGGAACAGTATGGAACAATATTGAATGCTCTCTAGTGGTAACTAACTAGTTGATGCATTATTTTAAGGCAGCTTATTTCGGTTATCGTAGTTTTTCCAATGTTGGCGTATCTAAATGTTCATTTTGTGGTGTCACTAAAGATAACCAGAAATACCTCATCTACTAGGGGCACAGCGGAATGTTATACATTGCAAGTGATTTTCTAACACTTCGTTGCACTGTTTCTGATGCTCTTCGTTCGTCATTATTACTGGTTTGAACCCTGTCACCGCTACACGATAGGTTGATTCCTTTTCACTGCAAACTACAGCTTTTGGATTAGGGAGCTTTGTTGTCTCCAGCTTTTGTACATGTATGTCGCCTTGGGTTCTTCAAAGTTCTCAATCCCCTTTCCCTTGATTGAGGTTCCCGGTTTCCACAACGGTGAAGCAGTAGTTCGCTGTAGGCTTCATCTGCCATTCATCATGAAACACGGGCATTTTGTTAATAGATAATAATAATTGCGTTTACTACTAGTATATATATATACATGTATTCATAAATACCTGAGGTCAGATTGTGCCAAACAACTCACGGTACAATGGTCTTTTTAAAAAGAAGGTCCACGATCTACTCAAGGGCATGTTATTGCTAGGTTGCTGAAACCAAAGCTGGTGAATTTTCCTGGGATATTGACAACTTGAGCATTCGACTAGCCAAAATTTGACCCACAAGACAGCTGGGCGGTGTGTTAAAACTGCAGTCCATTGGTTTCCGGTGTCCAGTTCATCAGATCTTTGGACGGATTCAAGCGTTCAATACACTTCGATACCCAATCGAGCCGGTAATCACTGCCACAACCAGAAAGGCGAGTGTGGTTTTCATGTATCTTGGTTGGTTTAAAATCAGGGTTTTCAGCCAACTCCTAGGTGAATTGCCTGGGGTTCATCGACCAGGTTATGGCCCAGGGTTTTGTCTCTTCGTTCTCTCAATTTGGTGGAAGAACACCGCCATGAGAAGGCAGTGAGCAGAGGCAGGTTGAGGCACCTGGTCCTATGGGAGTATTTCGCAAGGTGCAAACCGACAGCAGTGGCGATCTTGTTGTTGCTTCTTATCAGACCAGAGTGCTTGAAATAGCATGTATGCACAACTAGACTGTGCTCTCCATGTGGTGACCATAGAGGTTCGCTTTCTTTTCCCACCCTTAAAAATAGGCCCAATCCCTATCGTCCTTACGTATTCTCACTTACCTTTAATTCATTGTGAGTTTGGTAGCCATCGGCGAAGTTAGCTTCACTATATTACGCTGTACAACAAAGATCAATGAGTCTTCTAGTTCGAGTTTTCATGCCTTCGTGCCACCCACTACCTCCTCGGCAAACATCACTCTCCGTGGCAAGCTATTTGATCACTTGCGCAACACGTCCCAATCACTGGTCTACGGAGATCGACCACCTGTTCCACTGGGTGACTGCGATTACCTAAAACTACACCTAACTTCATCATTGCTTGTCCGGCTTTCTCATCAGATTCGTGCAATGCGATGTAAACAGCAGTATTCGAACACCGACGGTCTGTTTTAACCCTGTTGCCGTAATGACTAAGATTCTGCACCGTAGAACGAGACTAGTCGAACTGTTGCAGCATACACTGGACCCTTCACGGACAACCAGATGTCGCGACGGCCCCACAGATGTCTCAGGTTGGCAAATGCCAACCGAGCCTTCTGTGATGCCACCAGATGACCGTAAAGGTTTTATTCTAAGTGGGCACCTTTCTGATTTTGAGAGCCATTCACTTGGTACTGGTGGAGCTGCTTCAAGCCGGCATGAAAATATCATCCCAGCCATATGTTAAGCACAGGCTCCCACAATTGATGGTTCAGCAGTAGCCTTTGATACCGTGGCTCAGTCGAATACGTTTGAAAATTTATCTGAGTTGCAGATCAGGTACACTTCTGGAACCACGATTCTTTCCTTTTTGAAGCAAATGCCAAGTGTTATTGTACATTAACCTTGCAGATTCAGCTATGCCATTCGTTATCAGGTTCGCACTTATGAAGTTTATCATGCTTCTAATTTCTGCTGTAAATGTTGTGCTCTTCCATGTCTTCTCCAAATCTCCCTATGCAGTCTATACGCAAGGTAATTGATAGTGTTGCTGCGGGCGAGGATACATACAATCATCTTACGACGGATCAGTTGAATCAGTTGCAGTGTTCTTTGGATCAGCACGAACGATGGCTTCGAGACCAAGTTCGGACTCAAAGTACGCGACCACTGACTGAGGACCCGGTGCTAAAAACAGCTGACATCGTTTCCAAACATCAGGTTCGTGTTTCCTGCATCATATTCGACCAATTTGGTCATATTATTTCAACTATATTGAATGAGCTGCCTAAAACTAAGCGTTTACCGTTCAGCTTTCGATGTGGTGGCAAATAGAGGCAAGCCACTTGCCAGGCATGCGTATTCGGTAATCTTTTGTCACTTGACTCAAAATTGTACCGAGGAAAATTATTTTCGTCACATTAACGCTCAATTCATGTTTGTTGCGGTCAGTAAAATCTAATCCACCTGAGAAAACATCGAATCATAGTGTTGATTCTTCATTTGACTATATGTCCATCCAAAATTACCCGGTGTTGCAAATAAGGTTATATATATATATATATGCTGTCGTCCGGTCCAATGCCACACCTAACCTATCTGGGCCTTATGTGGTTCGCCACTCCAAGTCCCGAGGATTAGGTTACCGGTTTCCATTACTCAACAGCAAGTCCTCGTGATTATGGGGTCCATTCCGTCTGCTATTCATCACATGAAATTGTGTAATAAAGAAATGTATGTATGCAGCGTGGTTGTATAGATGGGTAATGGGATCAGATTAGTCGAGCAATGCACTCCGCAGCGAGGGTTGCTTGTGGATTCAAGCGTCAAACTCGTCCGAAACATTCGAAATCTGATGCGTATTCAATGAGGAGAGAAAGCGTTGAATCCCGACCCTTCAGAATCAGAATAGGAGTAGGTGGCGTCTTCAACGTCAGCTCAAGAAGAAGCTCACGAAGGACCGTGATAACTAGTGGAAGACAGTAGCTTATGTAGAGGAAGCAGTAGCTGCTTCAGAGAATGTTCAGAGACTTCCAACTGATACACAACGCCTGAGATCGGTTGGTGAAATGACCTGTGGTACATACGGACAAGCTATTCATAATAGGAAACAACAGCCTGACCGATGAGCGGAGTGTTTCAGCGAACAGTTCAACTGTTCTGGAGCGAACCAAACTATCCTGTCTGTTGTAGCTGAAGCCCCGTAAGCAGTGCAATGTGAACCTCCCATAGAAGCAGAAGTCTGATCCTGCATTCAGGCCCTGGAGATAGGAGATGCGATGACCTTCCAATACTTCCAATACTGATTTACTGTGTAACCTCTGGTCGCCAGAGCTCGTTCCTTGGTCTTGGAGCGAATCAGTGATCGTTCCCATTTTCAAAGGATCTTACAACGACTGCTCGAACCACCACGAAATAATTTAGATCCTAATCGTCACGCTGACTTTTGATACCTTTCAGGGAGACAAGTATCTGTGAACTAACAGGATTCTCACCAGATGGCGGCTGTATCAACCAAATCTTCACATTGCATCACATCCTCGAGTTTCACCATAAGCATTGACGATCAATGGTTGTCGTGTTCCTTGACCTCAACCGAACGTTCTGTTATTGACCGCCTAGCTCTCATGGGTTCGCTGAAGTGTGTGAACCTATTCAGATCACTAATTGCATACTTCCGCTAGCCTAAGGATCTGTGGCTCGCTCAGCAGATCGTTGGAAACCAACAACGATTTTCTTATTCCGTCGTTCCTACTGGATTTCGTACACAAATTAACGCACTGCATAGCCTCCAGAATGTAGGGACTTGAATGGGCGGCTTGAGAAATGCCATGTGACTTTGAGTACGTTGATGACATTTTCTCTGTTCAAATGCACGAAAAACGCGCCAAGCGCAGCTGACAGATTTGCAAGTTTTGTTGCTCCATTCGGCATACGCTTTGCAACTTCGAAGTGCAAAATGGTGCTGTAAGAGTGGAAGTTGAATAGTCCCGTTTGGAAGTTAAATAACCAGGTATTGGCTGAAGTTGGGTGCTTCCCCATCTTAGATAATTTCGTGATCCATAACGACAGCGCAACAAAGAAGATAGAAACACAGTTCCAGTACTTGAATAGTGCACACAGCTTTAAGACACGTGTCGACGACGTTCTTTCAATTCTGTTTTACTGTTGCGAGACCCCGACTCTGCGTGGATGTTTTCAGTGACCATGCTTACTTAGCCTGGCCCAGGTTTTATGAATTGAGCGGCTAGGTAACCTGTAGTAAGTTGTGTTTGAGAATGTATTGAAGAGGAATTCTCCGTAGCATTAAATTCAGCTTAATGGGCTTCACTGCTCAGGATACCTTTTGCCTATGCTTAATATTTACCTACGGCACTGCGCCTTACTTGCAGTAGAAGCTCCGGGTTGGAGAAAACCACGTGGATAGCAACAGATAACGGGGAGATGAGGCACGAAGAAAGACAGCCATTTGGTAAAGTAGGTGCCTCCCGTTGTTCCAGCTGGGGTCCGAAAGAGAAGGAGAGTATGCAGAGAAGCATTCACGTGGTACTTCACTTGTTGATCTCTTTGAAAGATGCAAGGTGGTTGGAAATACGAAGGTCGGATGTGTTTCATAATTTCGCGGCCCTGGAGAAGAGGACTGAAGGATGCAAGTGCCACATCTGGTTACAAAGGCCAGAAGGCCCTGCCCGCCTGGGAAAGGAAAAAGTCAAGGGGCTCCACCCCATCCGGGGCTGCAACATTTTAGCATCGGATTTGAGCTACATCGCACGCCAAGGGGGACCATCTATTGGCATGAGTAAAATGGATAAATAAGTTTTAACCATGAGTGCATGCTGCTTCGAAAACAACCTCAACTTACGAGTTAAGTATAGAACTGGTTCTTATCCGTTTTTATGAATTGAGCCGTTTTGAGAACATTGCTACTACGAGTTATGGAATCTTTATGACTCTAATGTTCATCAATACCATGTTTTTTCTGTGGTTGTATGCTTTCCTACAGGCAATGGAGGCCGTTTGTCGTCCCATCATCAATACGCCTAAGCCGGCACCACCACCACCACCAACCGCGCCGACGGAGCAGTCTGAAAGTGCCACCCAAAACGACGCAGGAACCGATCACTCTGCACCAGACGGTGCAAGTACCAAGGGCAAAACTGTGAATACAAATGAAGAAAAAACCGAAAATATGGATGTCGACTAAATCGTTTCCTTCTAGATTTTCGTGATGGACCCCTCCACACCATTTGTGGACGCTACACGCATCAATTGATTCCATCCTGCACTGTAATATGGTCATACTGTCTCCTACTACTTCGTGCTTTTGCTTTCCTCTTCCATTGACCAATGCTCTTCGTTCGTCCTCTTCATGGTGTTTCTGTCTCAGTGCGATTTTCAATCCGGTTACTCTGTCTATAAGATTTGAATCTTCGCGTCATCTTCACTCAACTTGGTCACTTTCGGCTCTCAGTTTGTTTCTCATCCGCGCGCGTTTTGTGGCTGTGCGGTCTCGAGCTGAATACTGTGCAACATTTCCCAGCCATCCTTTTGAGCATTCTTGTTCACCGTACGCAGTTTACCTGACAGTTCTTTGCCGTTCACTTATTCGTTCCGGTTTCAAATTCAGGTCGACATTTGCGATTGCCTCTTATCACCCACTGGAGTAAACGCGTTCGCATACCTGGTATTGTGTGTATGCTTGAAGTTTCATCTTTTTATTTTAATTGGTGTGGGAAGTGCGCTATAGTGTGCCGATTCTCTCACCAGAGACGATACTAAACATGGTAAAGCTTTATAAACACTATGCAGGTGTTTCATCCACGTTCACAGTCTACGGAACTCACTGATTCAAACCCAGTCGGGGTTGCTGACAGGGCCTAACCGGACTGGTGTTTTCAGCAGCCTGCATAACTCTCACTTAAATATAAGTGCTCTCTTTTGCTCGGGCGTTGATGCAGCTTGTTTAGCACCTCATCTTCGTCGTTAAAGATAGCTTGCGAATACCTTTGAGCAACTGCTTATAAACCTTGGGGCGTGCAGGCAATTGAAAGACGGTGTAATCAGTTGTTCAGTGGTCAAGTGGGTTGTAAGCTGCGGTCTACCTGTGAAGTCCTTAGTTCGATCCTCGACTGGGTCGACATTCCTATTGCTGATAAGACCCAACTGGGTTGAAACAGCTTTCCAGTACTTTCAGTTCACGCTTCGTCTGTTCGATACACGATAAAGTCTTTGATGGAATCAAATCCTTCGTGAGTCTCAGGGAACGTTAAGGTCACGGCACTACCATGCCGTAAACATTAGAGGGACTGTAGCGTATAGCCCCGGTCGAAAGTATGCAGTATTGCACGAGCTAACAGCACCAACAGATTTTCTACCGGTGATGAGGATACATGGCGCATGGCTACTAGTGTCAATTTGCAGCAGCACCTCTTATTTGTCCGAATTGATAGGAATTAGGGAGTTCACTGATTTTGGGTATCGAAAACATCTGGTTTTTTGCTATGCACGAAGTGATTTACAGCGGAAGGGGTAAACCCCGTAATCAACGATATACTGTAAGGGGGAGGTATGTAGGGAGACATTCAAGTAAGAATCAATTTGTTCATGCTGCTTTTGAAAAGAGTGAGGTCATAAGAGCTTGGAAACACGAAAATGGGAAGTGTTCCACAATTTCGCAGGCCTCGGGAAAAATATTGAGAGATAAAATTCTGACCTCGGGACAGAAACCTGATAAGGGTGACTGTCCGCCTGGGAACGAGATGGACGCGAAAAAGGTCACTGGAACAGGAACCGCTGAAGGGAGTTCGAAAGGGCCGAAACCAAAATAGTAGCGATAGAAAAGATAACGAAGCAACTGTCCGGCGGTGGGAAAGCGATTGCAGGTTGGAAGGAAAGACGATTCGTCGATCAGCCGGATGGCCTTACGGTGAAGGAGAGAAGGAACGGAATACGAAGCTCCACTCCATGCGTGAGAGCAGTATTCGAGCATCGGGCGGACTTGAGCTTTGTCTAGAAGGATGTGCTTGGGTGTAAAGAAGACGCTTTGCGCGGAATAGAAAACCAACTGGGCGCAGCGCGAGAGGCAAGTGTGGAGATGGATAACAACCAACAGATCGAATAATTCATGGATAAACCCAGGAAGAAGCGAAAATTTGTGGAACGAAGGGGCAGATAATCATAAATCAAGTGAGAGGAATAAGGGGAACGTTTAGGAGAGACTGAGAGGAGAGAATTTTTGAAAGCATTGACTCCCATGATTCGTATAAACCCATGCGGGGATTAGTCCGAGATCGGAGGCAAGAGAAGCACTAATGGCAATACGATCGTGATGTATGTTGGTTTTAACCTGATGGAGAAAAAGAACAATGGATAGTGGCATCATCGA